ATATTTTATATAGAAATGTATAAAATTGCAAAGAATTACAATATAACACAATAGCATTTGTCTCTTTTTAGAAAAAAAAATTTTTTTAGAAAAGTCTTTTTAGAAAAGAATAGAATTAAAACATAAAATTATACAAGTATTATACAAATATATTTAAAGTATTAAATTATAGAAATAATTATTTCTGGTCTTTATTGAATGAGAAAAATTAGAAATGAGAAAAATATCGAGATATAGAAGAACAAATTAGAGTCAAATTCAAATATAGATACGTGTAATAAACATTTAAAGTTTTAACATTCTGATAAATTGATATGAAATATAAATTTAATTTATAAACTTAATTTAATTATTGTATTACATAATATAACAGAAATGAGAAGTAACATCTTAATTTTTATGCCATTTGTAAATAACAATTTGAATATGATGAGATCACCTTAAAATAATTATAAAAATGGATGGAAGCTATTTTTATCTTCCCTGAAAGTCAGTAAATAATCGTAAAAAGTGATAAAAGGCACGTGAAATATTTTTATTCAATGCGCATGGGTAGTCTATTTTCACTTACGTGCCTTTTATCACATTTTACGATTATTGACTGATTGTCAAGGGGAATAAAAATAGCTTTCGTCCATTTTTACAAATGTTTTTGAACATGAAAAGCGATCTCATCATTTTGTTTTATCCAAATTGTCTTTATTTACAAAATAGCACGTAACAAATTTAACGTGTTCATTTCTCGTTTTTGATGTCACGATTCAATATGGCTGTGGTGAAATAGATTACTCAGGAGTATTAAATTCAATTTACTATATATTAGTGATTAGGTAGTGATTTGTATCATTAAATAATCATATTTTTTCTTACTAAATTTTTTAAAATATATAATATATATATTTAAATTTGATTTTCTTTTTTCTTCTCCGAGGAACACATCATACATTTGAATTTTCACTGATTGTGAGAGAAATGATTTTGTTATAGGAACAAATCAAGGGAAAACAAATGTGATATTTGTTAAAAGACCGATCGATTTGTTACGATGCAGATTAATTCGTCAATGTAACAAATAATTAATAGTATTGTTAGCAAAAAGGCTCATATATGTATATATAAAAGTCGTAGACTTGCAGAATTTCAAATCGTAAGAAATTGATCAATTCTAGTCAAGTATTCTTTCTCTATTTGACTGTGCTTGCTCGGTTTCTTACGATTTAAGATTCCACGATAATCTACGAATTCTATGTAAACGAGCCTAAAGTTTATCCAAAAAATAGATTAGATTTTATATAGTTTGCTTCTGTTATTAATAATTGGTTGGTATAGCCAACTAGCAGCAATCACAACAAATTTGTTGTCACATATTTACCGATCACCGGTTAAAAGTAATGGCTTGTTAAATTAACAAAATCCTTTTTCTCAGTGTTTCTTATTCATTCTTCCTCGAGTGGTAAATAATTCCTTTTCCTTAACGTTAAGATTTCGTGACGGCGCCAGACTTCTTTACGACGTTCGTCTTGCCTATGCGAAGATTCATCTCTCGATGGAGACGATTTCGCTCTTTGTGGACGACGTTTACGTTGGCTGAGAAGACGACACTCGTACCCTGTAATATTCGGTAGTTCGTCGCGACAGGGAACGACATATATAAAAGTGTTCTCGATGTGAAAGCATAAGCCGACCCCTCGCGACAGTAAGTTATCCTTATCTCGTTTCGACGTAGACTTCGATGCGATAGAAGTCGTTCCAGACTGGCGCCGTCACGAAATCTTCTGCAGTTCTGCACCGGAAACATACAAACGATAGAAATTTGTCTCTATCGTCGAAGAGAATTGAGTTTTGATTTTTACTGCATCATATTCTCGCGTCATAATAGACTGAGAATTATAATATAAAGTTTGTTCATCGGTACTATTGAAATCACATAATCGTTCCTTTTTACTTTAAAAGTGACAACTTAAAAAATTAAATTTTTCAGAAAAAGAGAAAATTATTTTTTAACTTGTAACAGAAAATTATTCTGACTAATCAATTAACTAATCAATTTTATCAATTATTGATAAAAAGAACATATACTCTTAAAAATATAATAAATATTTTTGTTTTTACCATTTTTGAATTATGATGATTTTGATATCCTATAAAATTTTGATAAATCCGGAATAATTCACCAAAAATTACATCAAAATAACTAAAAATTTATATTTATCTTGAAATAACTATATTAAAATAAATGAACTACATTTAAAATAAACAATTTCTTCTTTAAACTTTTATCACCAAAATTGTTTTAACTCTAAATGTTCTCTGTAAAAGATTTCTCTTTTTTATTTACAAAAACAACATAATTCAATATGTATTACTCTTGTAAAAGGTATTATGATCTCTTTGAAAATTTTAAGTGCTATTTGACACAAGTGCTATTTGGCGAATGTGAAGTTAAGTTTGAAGTTAGTTTACTTTTGATGATTGATACAACAATCTTTAACTAACTCATTCACGATAACTCGAAAATTACGTTTTTTTTGCTTATATCACTTTTGAAGTAAGAAAACGATATCTGAGAAAATCGCTCTAATTTAATTAGTAGACAGTCTGTGGTCTTCATATTATCATAATGAGAAGAATATTCGGGAAAGCTATAAATAGCCGTATTACGAACAAAAGAATCAGCTGTTCGGAACACAGACAGTCAATACATACGCAGACACGCGACACATACAGAGATATCGCTTGGACACGCGACGGTGGAGTAAGTCAACAGGCATAGAACTTTTTAAATACCCTCATTTCTTTCGATGTGATTACGAGAATTATTTCTTTACATTGTCCACGCAGTTAAAACGAAAAATAATTTTGTGTCTCAGATTCATGATTTAAACAATTTGGTCATCTCCGTCACATAAATTATTCTTTGCGAATTTAAACAGAAGTATTTTCAAATTGTGTGATACATAAGTAACGACAAATAACAAAAGAACTTGCGGTAATAATATTATATTATTGTTAGAGTGAACCAACATCAAGAGTATGAGATCGAGAGATTCGACCGACTGCCATTGTTGCGTTAAAACGTAGTAAGAGTAAAGAGAGTAAAGAGATTTTCTTTTCTAAAATATTTGGAAGTCGACTATTTTCTTTTTCCCACGGCGAATGATTCCCGTGTACACTGAAACTGTCAATACACTTCATCTTTTATAAAGCTTTAAGAAAAAGTCTACTAGAAAACAAATCTAAAGACGTTAAATTTAGGAACCTTGGATGAGAAGGACATTCTATTTCTCTCTTTCCTTTTTCTATCCAACTATCCGGAAACATGTTGAATGTTTCTCTGAATACGGCGATCATTTTTAGGAGGAGCATCATCGTGCTGTAATTACTCTAATGGAGTGGTACGTCTAGAAAAATTGTGAAGTTCAGCGATAAAAAAATAAAATACTTTAAATAATATATGACTTTAAATTTGACTTTGGAAGATCAATAAATTATAAATTAAGGCTCCTGAATAGTTATCACAGTCAACTTGAATCGTGATGTCAGAAGTGAGAAATGACACGTTAATTTTTATTACATGCCATTTATAAATAAAGACAATTTGAATAAAACAAAATGATGAAATTGCGTTATAACATTTGTAAAAATGGATGAAAATTATGCTCATTTCTCGCTTTTGATATCATGATTCAATATGGTTGTAATGACTACTCAGGAGTCTTAATGAACACATCTCGAAGTAAGCTTAAAAAAATTTACTGTTTTATTTAAAAAATAAAAATCACACTTTGATATCTCAGAAAATTTAAAACATAAAATTAAAATATCTTCATTTGACGAATCCTATCGAATATTTTATATAAAACATTTTTTAATGAAATCAGTAAATAATCATTTCAGATGGTAGTTTTTAATGACTCACTCTGTATATTTAATGTATTTAAGAAAATTCCCAATATTAATATAAACAAATATTTTCTATCTGAAATACCGTATATTTGTACATATTTCACATAAAGTAATTTACATTAATACTTATATTTATCCACACATTTTATTATTTTCGAGAGCAATTAAAAGCTCCATGATCACTGTCCCCGATTAATCAGCAGTGAATGATACAGTGATGCGTATTATCCTTGATTGTATCGCTGTTTTCGAAAGATATAAAATATAATATTATTTTAATTGATCAACCGAGGCGATGTGTTCCCTATTAGTGTATATGTTATTTACATCGTACGTTTATTTACTAATTAAGATTAACGGTAACACGGCCTATCGAATTTTACTTAATGTACAAGCCGATATTTATCGACTGTATGGTCATAATTGAGAATGTATAGGAAATAAATTTTGCGTTCCTATCAAAGAGAGATTGGGCGCATTCAGTCGGTTTAACTGCGAGAATTTCCATCAATGTATTTTAATTTACGAGAAATCCAATTTGACAAATTTCGCAAACTTAATCGAGTATAATTTAGAGAGTATACGTCGACGTACTTTATGCCACTCTTTTCCAACGATTTTATCCTCAATATATACGCTTATATATATATATATATATATATATATATATATATATATATATATATATATATATATATATATATATATAAGCGTATATATTGAGGATAAAATCGTTGGAAAAGAGTGGCATAAAGTACGTCGACGTATACTCTCTAAATTATACTCGATTAAGTTTATAATATTGTAATATTATTATAATATTATTTTAAAAATAAGTAAAAATGAAAAATTGTATTATTTGAATGCACAAATAGTATTTATCCAGAAAGAATTTGTTAAGAAATTTCGCTTTATGTGAAGCTTTCTTTTTATAGAATGTATTGTTATGTAAAATTGCTAATTAATATTCATTTTGTACAAATAAGACTTTCTTTATAAAAATTTCTCCTGTACGAATTACTTTTTGCACTTACTGTACACAGAGAGTATAAATATTTTTATAATAGATTATTTTCTCTTTTGCAGTGATTGTGAGCGATTGTCAGATCAAGAAGTCAGTGACGTGTGGAATATCTTCGCTTATAAATAAAGGTAGGATTTTTGTAGAAAATTTTTATATTATTATATATAGTACAGACTCTGTTAAGATTCTAGAAAAATTGCATAAGTTTGGATAAAACTAAAACGTTCTTAAAATAACTTCCCATCGATTTTTCGACGATATTGAAAGAATAAAAGAAAGAACAAAAGTGCAACAGATGTCTTTACACGGTTTTGAGCAATGAAATTTCTACCGCAAAGTTCATAGATTCGGTTAATCCTCAACACCGACACGTCGCCCGCATTATGAAACCGCGTTTTTCTCCCTCGTTGATCGAGCAAGCTAATCAATGACGGATGCGATTTACGATAAATTGCGAGGTGTGCCGCTACACTCTGATTGCCGCGATAACAATTTCTCCGATCACGATAATTGACGCCTCGGATCCGCTGTCAATGGGATCTGTTCGTTATACAAGCTATGGAGCGATTTCGGTCGATAACATGATAGGCATCTGCTTTTTTAAAGATCGCACGAGGGTTTTCAGGGATTTTTCAAAATTACATTTATCATTACATATTTTTCCGTATGAAGAATACAAAGAGGAAAAGCAAATGTTTATATTAAACATGACGTATAAAATTATAAGATAAATGAATATTTAATAATTCAATATTTAATTCAGATGGACAAGTTAAATGAGCACATAAATTATATTAGATATAAAATATTTTATTTATAAGTTATAATATGTTTTCACAGATAATTAACAGGTTATATTAGCGCGTAAATATATATTTAATTATATTAGATATAAAATACTCCATTAAATTATACTATTATTAAAATAGAAGTCTAAATAGATTGATGTGTTAATTATTATTAAAATAATAGTTTATAAAAGTTAATTTTAAACGAAATATTCTTATTGATCTAATTCAATGAGCTTAATTTTAAATCTGATATTTGCTACGATTCTCTTTGGATATGACGTAGCCGTATTTTCCGATTAGTTTCAAAAACTATTACTGTAGGAGCAACGAACCGGCATGGACGACTACGCCGCGTTCGATTTAAAAACTTTCTTCGTTTCGGAGTTTTCCGCTTGATCATAACTTTACGTATCATTGAACAGGTTCTTTCCGTTATTTCGTAAGTATTACGCCTCTCGTTTCCTTGGAACGAATAACCCAGCGGAAATTTATAGCCGTCGTAGAGAATGAAGCTAAACATCCGCTATATCGTTTTTTACTATATTTTCAAACAACCTTCCGTTTATTTGATATCATAAAAATTCTTTTGCATTTAGTTCATCGCAATATCAAAATCGCGATGAACCATTGACCGGAAAGTCAGGTGATATTAAAGGAAATTTAGCACACCAATTAAATAATGTTCAGTTCAAGTAACCCATTGATTCTCACTAAACTTCGATCTTACGCATTCAAATTTTCCGGTGATTAATTCCTCATTACGAACGTTATGAACGTATCTTGATCTTTTGAAATATATCTCATATTGTATTTGAACAAATGATTGTTTTATTTCTCTGACGTCGATTTATATTATGATAAAACATTTTTGCGTTAAAGTTGATTCTTCTACAAGAAAATGATAACTCTCCAATATCAGTCTTAACTTTCATAGTTTCTGCCTTTGAAATATTTTTTTATTTTTTTCCTTCTCTCTCTCTCTCTCGCTTAAATCATTCATCCGATTTCTCATAAATTATAAGATGCTGGTAAAGGAACGAAAAGAAATAAACTTTCATCGGTTTGTTGCTCGTAGTAATTACTGTAAAAGCTCATCTTAAAAAAATTAGCAAAATTTGTTAGGAATTGAAAATTTTACGCATAACTGTAAGCGGAACAATTAAACATCTAACAAATACTGCAATTATTTACTCATTTATTTCTGGAAATTGAATACGAAACTAACTTTATAAACTAAAGACGTTTTATTAAGATGTTTTATATATATATATTACTTCAAGCAAATTCAAAATCAAGAAATTATAAATTAAGTAATTGATTGCATTAATTATAAAGTTATATAAAAGAGAAAACAAAGATTGCTCAGTATAAAAGTGCAATGTGCAGCTAATTACAACTTATATAGGCAATCGTCTACCACTTATCAATATACACGCTTTCAAGCACGGACTAATCACTATATTTTTCAATCAATCACGATGCAGAGAACAGAGTCGGCTAATGTTATTCATGAAAGCGGGCGCGCCGGTAAATTTCCCGAGGATTTCCCGACGTCGATAGCTCTTTTAATTCGAGTTTGCGAACTCGCAACAAGTCGGCGGCGCCCACCAGCCGCGTTAAGCCGCTCCGTCGAGCTGCGTAGACGGCTTGAGAGAAAGTTGAACCGGAAGTTGAGGAGAACAGCGTTGAGGGGATAAACCAGAATACGGAGATGCAAGGGGAAACAGGATGTAAGGGGCGTGAAATGGGTGAAATGCGACGGTGGAAATCCATCGGTGGCACGAGGGAGAAGGATTTGTGAATGTTCCCGCGTATCGTTGTCTCGCAGTCGAATGACGTTAAATAAGTAAGCGAGAGGGTCCATAGAGAGGCACGTTTCGACCCCGGGCGGTCTCCGGCGTGGCGGTGCCGGTCGTTTCCTCTATTTTTCAGTTCGGTACTGCAACTACGAGTTGCATTATGCAGTTCGTGGCCAGACAAGCGACTGTGCGACGCGACATCCCGCGGGACGTCCTGACGCGTTTATTCCGGTACTATATTCCTCGTCACGGATCCGCCAGACGCACGAGATTCCGCTCGCACCGCTGTCGTGTCCTTGAAACCAAGAAACAAAATCAATGAATTCGGATTTGAACGTTATTCGCAACGAAAAGAATATTGGACTATACATGCTTTGTTGCATGGCTAAATAACAAAGCATTTTTTTTTTACTTAAATTTCTTTCTCATTTTTGCTCAAATTTCAAATTAAGGTGGTTCTTTAGTAAATCGAGTTACCATAGAAATGTCTAATTTTTTTATGTAATGAAGTTGAAGTAAAAAATTGACATGTGCAAAATTTTAGGTAGGTTAATGATGAAATAAGAGAGAAGAAAATGTTAAAAATGTAACTTTTCACGTATAACTTAGTGACAGATAAGACAGACGCTTCTTTGACTAACTGCACACAAATTACCATAGATTTTTCTCATAAACGAGATTATAATAGTTTAAAAAATTATGATTTTAATGGTCACAAAAAAGTAATAGGTCAACGGCCATTTTGGAAATTGACGTTTTGGATATTTACGTGCGTAAAACTTGCATGTAATTTAACGAAAAATAAATATAATCTCATCTGTTTTCGTTTGATGCAGCTCTTGATTTACTATTATATGTTCCATATTATTTCATTAAGATATTACACGTAGTTTTAATATTTCATCCAAATTATGCAGATATTTGTAATTTTGGGTGAGTCCTGATGAGACACCCCAATTTTCGGCACTTTATTAAAGAATCACCTTAAGATTTTAACATTTGAGTTGAAAAACTGATTTGTGATAAGTAATATTGAAAATATTGAAGGTATCTATAAATTTTTCCACATTTTGTTGAGAGCCTAGAACAATACAAAAACTTAGGCTGGACAAAAAAGACTGTAGACGCAGATAGTACAATATGATTATAGACGGAGAGTTAATTCTATGGAAAGAAGAGTTTTTGCTGAAATATTTAAAAATTTAGCTATTGACACAGATCCAAAAATAATTATGTAGGGCGCTCAAACTCATTGCTGTATCTTTAATAATTAACGAGGTAGATATACTGACAGTAAATGAAATAAATCTTCTTGCATTTTATAAAGAAGGTACTTTTTATAAAAAGTGCAAATGTATAAAAAATGTTTCCGATATTTGCATTTTGCAGTCTGCGATTATTGGATGCATAAAGAATTCACACGATTTCAAGCGTCAAAGTGCGCGAGTCAATAAAGAAGTACTTATATTATTCAATTCATCGTGCCGTGTTCCGTGCGAATTAACAAGAGAGAATATTCGCGACTATGCGGAAGGAATCGACAGTCAGGCATGACAGTTAAATATCTTCCGAATTTAGGGAGAAAAATGAAGTAAGGGACGA